CCCGGCTCGGTGGTTGGAGTAGTGGAGGTGGAGTCGTTGACTGAGTTTGCTACGGTAACATTGTCATCAAATATGGCGTTTGCAGTATTGAGTGCGTCGGAGACCTCTTGAATACTGGAGCTGGTGTGCCCCCAGGGACTGCCTTCGCTCTGGCCGAAGGAGACGCCGACTGAGTTTGGCACCCCCCCAAGACTGACACTGCCGTCGTCACCGACATCACCACAACAACTGCTACTCCCACCCATGTTCGGGCTGGTCCGCAGGGAGGCCGTAGCGGATGCACCCTAAAAATATTTTACGCGTATTCATAAAAAAAAGAGGAATACATGCGAATTTCGTTGTGTCTACTGTAATTCAAACTCGGCAACATGCGTTAGGGCACTTGCATCGGCAAATATAAACACGTTCAAACACGGTTTTACTCTATGCCTTTCTTTTCTGCTTGTCGAAATACGAATGTCTACAGTTAAAAAAAAGTTCAGGCTACAAATTCGAAAACCCAGCAAAGAAATGCCGTTATAAATATCCCTGACCCGCTTGCTACATCTTCCATTCTAACCGATTCAGCCGGCTCTATTTTGCAGATTCAGCATACTATGGATGACTGCGATCTAATTTGGCAGGTCAGCTGCAAGATCCTAAGTGGTGGTTACGCAGCTGGTACGTCAGTCTTTCAGACAAAATACGAGTCTCTCATTTCATCTATTAATGTCTCCAGTTTATTACCTCAACACAATCGCCAGCCAGGATTCAGTGCGGACGAAATGAAACTCGGAGCGATGTTACTACGAAGTTCAGATAGCACAATACCGAACTACACAGGGCAACGAGGAGGGATTGTACAGATGAACAATTCTGCCCGGGCGAATGTACAGCTATTCGTTGGAGACGTAATCAGGCGAACGAGGTAAAGTAACAGAGCAAAAACATCCCCAGTCGAATGCATCTAGGCAAGCGATGTTTTTTGAATGTTTTGGCGTGACTCAAGTTCCCACGGACGGACTTTTGACGGTCTCGTATACGCATAACTCAGTTTTTTGACTAATCTCAGCCAGTCTCAGAGGCTGCAATGGCGTTAAACAAAGGCCGAATACATCCGACTAAGACAGTGGCCGATTTCACCCTGGCCATGTCCAATCGATAGAAAATTCGATTGAAGTAGGCGGCAGCTCTCTGCTAATTTAAGGGTTTCTTCGATAACCGAAAGCAGGCAGGTATTGTGGGCAGAAAAAAAGTGAGTACAACTTGATTTTTCCTTTGAGCCTTCTGCCTTCATTATATTCTCTCGGAATGCACAGTAACCCAGATTTTTTTTTAACTCTACAAGATTAAGTCTCTGTGATGAACCTCTGCGCTGATAACCAATAACAGAGGGTCATACAACGACTGGAGCTGCTTTATGTAGGTTTAAATATACTGTCATAACCCACACGCGGTTTGTTCATTACCTCGCTTGGTGAGTTCGAGCCGCGGTTTCGGCAAGGGGGACAAACATAGCCATTTGTCTGCGAGAGCGTAGCGTCATCACTGCTGAAGGAGGGCGAAGAACGAGGGGAGGTATTGGACTGCATAACAGGGTCGCAGTCAAAATGAACCATTTTTTGACACTGGGAACACTTCCGACCAGGCCAACTCATGGTGACTGCCACTCCAGGTCCTGAGGACTGTAGAAAAATTTCAGAAAGATTACATATATTGCGTATTGACCACTATATAAAGGGATACAATTCACAGTCATGCATGCAAATAATTAACTGATGGACTTTGCCCAGCAAAAGCAGATAAAAACAAAGGAAGAAGAAAGCTTCAGCTTACACCGAGGGAACAACGCCAGGCCCTTTCACAAACAGCGCAACAGGCGTTCTGACGTTTTCGGCCTTGGAAACAGCGTTCACATAGAGTATAGTTCGAATGCCATCGAATTGGAGGCTGAAAACGATGTATAGTTAAGTGAAAGTTCGTAAGCACATGGAAAATAGTAAACGAATATTGCTGACTATAGCGGGCAAATGTAGTGCTCAGCAAACAATTACATCTGACAGGAGTAATAAGCGGATAAATTATTAAACCTCCAGGGCTGTTGAGAAGACGTCTGGTATCAGCATGTTCTGCTTAAGGGAAATTGTAAAGCAAATTGTTTTGGGAAACAGAGATGATATACTAGAACGCGAATGTTAATAAACCCAATCATTATTGTACTGAAATTCAACTTGGAGAAAATGCGATTAATTGTGTAAAATATAGTCTCAAGTAACTATTGTGAGCAAATAAACTTAGTGAGACAAGCTAAAAAGGTGAACTGGTGGCTAACCTGGTTTGGAAGGTCTGATGCTTCACCGACAGAGTTGCCAGCACCTTTGGAGGAGAAACGGCGAAGACCACAGTCTGTACAAACCCTACAGCGATCGCATTTGAAGCCATTTTTGGGTATATTTGTTACCGGAGGCTTGAGACAGTACGTGTGAAAGCCCTTATCACAAACATCACAAACAAGCATTTTCGTTTCGTCCTTGCTCTCACTGAAAGAAGTACAGGGAAGGAGGACGTTGAACAATCGGAAAGAGCAAGGCAGGGGAGAGGAGAGGCCAAGAGCAAACCAAGTCTTACTATGGCCTGAAACTGTGATGCGTATAGTATTAGCCCTGCAGAACTCCACTTAAAGTACAAAAAATATTCAGATGGAGGAACCCCAGTCGACCTGTCTTCTGATCATTTGTCAGCAAGTAGGAGAGCATGAGTAGATCCTAAAGGTTATAAATTATAACTCATTGTGCAACATGGACATTGGAAACATTTTCTACCACAAGGATGTTCCTGCGAGGTAGGACAAGGAAACGTAACTCCTTGACATTTAACATTTAGTTTACAAATGCGCCCCCCCTGATTAGAAGAACGCCGGTATGAACTCACCACGTAAGGGCGTCGAAGTGTATATAAATTGATAAGTTATCGGATAAGAAACAGAGGACAGGTCGTTAATGTGACTTAAAATTCACTTTAGATGATAAAAAGAGCACGCCAAGGGCTCGCAGTAAAGAACGCTATAGTAACATCACTGCCAGGAATGCAAATGCTAATGGAGGTTCTCAAGTGTTGGTTCAACGCGAGACGCATAAAGTAGGACACCCTAAATAGGCAAGAATTTTGAGAGCGAGGACGAAACCAAGCACTTTTGGAGGACTCGACTAGAAGCGTTTGTAAAACCAGTCGGCTGATTAACTGTTGAGTAAATCGAAGCTGAAAGACCGAAGGCAAATAGTTGTTCTTTTTGCTTTAAGCTGGTAACAAACTGATAACTAACAATAAATATACTACTAGTTAAACATAAAACGTTAAATGGAAAAATTTTCGGTCAAACAAGGTGGGAAAGGGTCATAAATATGTGCCTACATTTCATATAAATATTTGGCATGGTGAAGAGACGAAACATAGGCAGTTTATAAATATTGTGGGACCGAGCAGACAAGAGAAGTTACCTGCAGGCAAGACACGTTTTGCATTCTGGACACTGCCAACCCACACGAACTGTCACGCTAAGAACAAGCGGAGGTTCGAGGCAAGAATTGTGAAAGTGATTTCCACAACTGGTGCAAAATATCATATCCGGAGCATCGTTTGTTTGTTCGCAGATCAAACAAGGAGTTGCGTTGTC